TGCTTGCTGGATTGTAATTAAAAATTGCTAATAAGAGCTGAAAAGTAAACTCTGATAAGAATTGGGACAGTGATAACAGGAATGTTTATAATGTTAAGAAGGAAGTCAACATAATATCAACACCAATCAAGAAGATCAACATCTGACCAGGAAACGGAGATGGATCCAGGATGGAAGTCGTATGCTTTAAAGGCACTGAAAAGTCGTTCGTGACACCTTCATGTCCTCCTCTTAATGATGACCACTGGGTGATCATCACTAAGAAGGGTTTTTGGAAAGTCCATGTTCCTTCTGCAGAAAAGAGGGCTCTTATTGTCCTTCAATCCTAATGATCTTACGATGGATCTTTCTTTCCGTTTGGTGGTCCTCTTCCCTTTTCTGCTTGAAGGTTCTTCTTGGTTGTTCCCGTTAGGTTGTTCCTTTTTCTTGCCAAGCTCCTCCTAGGTCCCATCCACACAGCACTATAACCCAGAATATCAAGTCAGCTAATTCACAATAATCTGCTTCGAACTGGGTTATTATTATTATAATAATTATTATTATTATACATTTATATCCCACCCTACTCACCCCCATGGGGGACTCAGGGTGGCTTACAATCCATGGCATACAATGCCACATTACACATATAATAATAAACATAACATATGAATTTAAACAATTAACACATCAATTTAAACATACAATAGTAAACATGAGATAATAATTCGAATATAAATACAATAACAAGCTTAGAAGTAATTCAAATAGAAATACAATAAAAAAGCTTAAAAGTAAACATAGGTAAAGGTAAAGGTAGTCCCCTGACATTAAGTCCAGTCATGTCTGACTCTGGGGTGTGGTGCTCATCTCCATTTCTAAGCCAAAGAGCCAGTGTTGTCCGTAGACACCTCCATGGTCATGTGGCCGGCATGACTGCATGGAGCGCCGTTACCTTCCCGCCGGAGCGGTACCTATTGATTTACTCACATTTGCATGTTTTCGAACTGCTAGGTTGGCAGAAGCTAGGGCTGACAGCGGAAGCTCACGCCGCTCCCCGGAACCTGCGACCTTTTGGTCAACAAGCTCAGCAGCTCAGTGCTTTAACCCACTGCGCCACCAGGGGGCCCCCAAAGTAAACATACAATAATTCAAATATAAATACAAAAAAGGGCTTAAAAGTAAACATTGTTCCAACCAAAGTGGGCTGATGGAAAAAAGTGGTCTGAAGCAACAGGAGAGGCAGGGGAACCCCGAAAACGAGCGCCCGCACAGGTGTTCCAATGTCCAAATGATGGGCGGCATGGCTATGGAGGCACCCGGTGCAGGTATTCCGGCAGCCGGGCAATGGGTGGCGCAGCCATTAAAGTAGCAGCATGGCGAGGTTGCAGGGGCCATGTTATCTGAGTCCACATTGCCATATAATCCAGTTTAGTGTGGATTGTATACAGCTATGTGGAAGGGGCCATAGAAAGCTGTTACTTAAGTCTACTGTTAGTAGGTTAGTCGCTTCTGGTCACTTCTGGAGTGCAACAGAAGAATGGCCTGCCTCAGGGGAGCGTGCTTGCTCAAATGTTCAACATTTACACAAATGTAATAGGCAGTAAGAGCACCTAGAACTTCTGTTCGACCATCTCAAAGCTCCCTGCTTGAGCAGTGATGGCACGATCATCAGCGTAGATGAAACTCTCTCTCCCTTCTGGCAACGGCTGGTCATTATAGTTGCTGATGATTTACTAGCTGTGCTAAACCTCCGGCCCTGTAAGTAATGAGGTTTTTTGTTTCCTTTTTGGGTCCAGGCGGCGATGAGGACGAAGACGTGTTTTCCCCAGAGTCAATTAGGCCTGAAGCAGGAAGAGAGGGATTGGGAAGTGAACCAAGTGTCCAAAGGAAAGGAAAGAAGAAGTCATCAATTTCTCAGAGGAACGAGAATAGCGAAACCCAGGACCCTCCAGAACGTCACCACCAAGTGTGTCCTGTCTGCGGGAAATTCTTCAGATTCAAATCTCAGTTCATCATCCATTGGAGAGTCCACTCAGGGGAGAAACCCTACAAATGCACAGAATGTGGGAAGAGCTTCAGCCAGCTCTCATATCTACATTCGCACCAAAAACTCCATTCGGGGGAGAAACCCTATAAATGTACGGACTGTGGGAAGACCTTCATCAAAAGCTCTGCACTTATGGTCCACGCAAGAGTCCATACGGGGGAGAAGCCCTATCAGTGCTTGGAGTGCGGGACGAGGTTCACCGCGAACTCTGCCCTTTTAGTGCATCAGAGGAAACACACCGGAGAGAAGCCGTACCAGTGTGCCGTATGCGAGAAGAGCTTCAACGACGGTGGTGCCTACAGCAATCACTTGAAAATCCATACAGGAGAGAAACCCTTTCAGTGCTTGGTCTGTGGGAAGAGCTTCCTGAGGAACTATGCTCTTGTGGTGCACCAGAAGAAGCACACTGGAGAGAAACCGTATCAGTGCGCAGAATGCGGAATGAGCTTCCGGGTCCGTAGCACGTTGCAAGTACACCTGAGAACCCACACCGGGGAGAAGCCGTACAAATGCGCGGATTGCGGCATGAGCTTCCGTCACCGGGGAGCGTGCACCAGCCACCAAAGGACTTTCACGGGGGAGAAGCCGTACAAATGCACCGAGTGCGAGAAGTGCTTCAGTCGGTCTCAGAACCTACGTTCGCATCAAAGGACCCACACCAAGGAGAAGCCTCACAAGTGCATAGAGTGCGGGAAGGGCTTCAGCGACAGTGGTTCGTGTATCAAGCATCAGAGGACCCACACCGGGGAGAAGCCGTACAAATGCACCGAGTGCGGGAAGACCTTTGTGGATAGTGGGTCGTGCATCAAACATGAAAGGACCCACACTGGGGAGAAACCCTACCAGTGCATGGAGTGCGGGAGGAGGTTCAACCAACGGGAAAGTCTCTACGCACACCAGAGGACCCACTCGGGAGAGAAGCCGTTCAAATGCTTGGAGTGCGGGAAGAGTTTCAGCCAGAGCGGGAACCTTACTTTACACCAGAGAACCCACACAGGGGAGAAGCCCTACCAGTGCGTGGAGTGCGGGAAGAGCTTCAGCAACGGCAGTGCGCTGAAGGTGCATCAGAGGGCCCACACGGGGGAGAAGCCTTACAAGTGCCTGGAATGTGGGAAGAGCTTCCGTGACAGGGGGTCCTATACGCGGCATCAGAAAACCCACAAGTCAGAAAAGGGCGAGGGGTTGCCGGGATCACACAGTTCCCCTGCTCCAATGGTTCCCTCATCAGCCAATTCTCAGTGACCGTTCAACACACCAGTCCTAACCTGTTAAGTTGTATACGTCTTCACTCCACGCCATCTTGGAGTGGCAAATTGTCACAATGCCAGGGCTCTGCCTTATTCAGGTAGAGATGAACCAAACAAATACCTAGTTTGTGTTAAACAGTTTAATTAAAACAACACTTACTTTCTGGCTGTTTTAATAGTCCAAAATATAAAACATAAAGATTGCACTCAACCACAGAATATAAATCAAAAACAGCAAACACTGTTGCAGGTTCAAGATAACTCCGTAGTCAAAAGGTCCAGTCCAGTGGTCAAACGCCGAGAGTTCAATAAACAAAGTCCAGGGATCAAGAGTCTATACCGTAGTCAAAAGCCAGTCCAAGATTCAAGGTTCCAGGATTCCAAAGGTTCAGGAGACAGGTCAGGACACTGAAAATCCACAAACCTGGGGGAAAACCAGCAGCATCTACCACCAAGATAAGACAAATACTTTTCTCCCAGAGATCAGCCCCAAGGCTAGCTCCTTATATCCAGAAACACCCAGCTGCAACCTATCTCTTGCATACCTCCACTCTTAATTGCTTTCACCATGAACTCTTACTTACAGATTACTCAACCCTTTAGAACTAAGATTTACATTAACCTTCCATCACCAACTGCTAGGCCCACCACCACCAAACCACCATTAACTGCAGAACATGATACATGACACAAATCATGTCTATCTGTATGGCAGTGGCATCACTTGGCTGCTTTGGAGGTTGGAGCGTAGAATTGTAGGCCATCCCCAAGTTACAAACATCTGATTTAGGAATAACTCTGAGTTAAGAACAAAGTGAAACAATGTTGTTTATTTGTTCAGTCATATCCAACTCTTCATGACCTCATGGACCAGCTCACGTCAGAGCTCCCTGTTGGCCGTCACCACCTCCAGCTCCTTCAAGGTCAATCCATTCACGTCAAGGATGCCATCCATCCATCTTGCCCTTGGTCGGCCCCTCTTCCTTTTTCCTTCCATTTTCCCCAGCATCATTGTCTTCTTTAAGCTTTCCTGTCTTCTCATGATGTGGCCAAAGTACTTCATCACTGAGTTGTTGTAGGTTTTTTGGGCTAAATGGCCATGTTCTAGAACAGCGGTTCTCAACCTGTGGGTCCCCAGATGTTTTGGCCTTCAACTCCCAGAAATCCTAACAGTTGGTAAACTAGCTGGGATTTCTGGAAGTTGTAGGTCAAAACACCTGGGGAACCACAGATTGAGAACCACTGACATAGGGCAATTTCCATGTCACGAAAAGGCAATTTGAGGATGCTTGCCATAGATGCAGGCGAAAACATCAGGAGATAATGCCTCTAGAACATGTCCATATAGCCCGAAAAACCTACAACAACCCAGTGATTCCAGCCATGAAAGCCTTCGACAATACTCCATATTTGCCTCTTATTTCCTTCCCTCCAGTGAGCAGTCGGGCTTTATTTCCTGGACTATGAACTGGTTTGATAAACAGGAAGGACAAGAGATGTCTCCAGAAAATTAGAAACATTGGAGGTAAAATTCAGGCAAAAATGGGTATGATCAAAAATAAAGATGGCAAGGACCTAACAGAAGCAGAAAAGATCAAAAGAAGGTGGCGAGACTATACAAAAGATCTGTATAGAAAGGTTAATAATATCAAGGATATTAGAACCAGACATTCTGAGGAGTGAGGTTGAATGGGCCTTAAGATGCAGTGCTAATAACAAGGCAGCAGGAGACGATGGGATCCCAACTGAACTGTTGGCAAGGACTTAACAGAAGCTGAAGAGATCAAGAGAAGGTGGCGAGACTATACAGAAGATCTTTATAGGAAGGATGATAATATCGAGGATAGCTCTGAGAGTGTAGTGAGTGAATTAGAACCATACATCCTGAGGAGTGAGGTTGAATGGGCTTTAAGAAGCATCGCTAACAACAAGGCAGCAGGAGATGACGGTATCCCAGCTGAACTGTTGGCAAGGACCTAACAGAAGCTGAAGAGATCAAGAGAAGGTGGTGAGACTATACAGAAGATCTGTATAGGAAGGATAATAATATCGAGGATAGTTTTGACGGTGTGGTGAGTGAATTAGAACCAGACATCCTGAGGAGTGAGGGAATGGGCCTTAAGAAGCATTGCTAACAACAAGGCAGCAGGAGATGACAGGATCCAGCTGAACTGGCAACAAAGAAGCTGAAGAGATCAAGAGAAGGTGGCGAGACTATACAGAAGATCTGTATAGGAAGGATAATAATATCGAGGATCGTTTTGATGGTGTGGTGAGTGAATTAGAACCAGACATCCTGAGGAGTGAGGTGGAATGGGCCTTAAGAAGCATCGCTAACAAGAAGGCAGCAGGAGATGACGGTATCCCAGCTGAACTGTTGGCAAGGACCTAACAGAAGCTGAAGAGATCAAGTGAAGGTGGTGAGACTATACAGAAGATCTTTATAGGAAGGATAATAATATTGAGGATAGTTCTGACTGTGTAGTGAGTGAATTAGAACCAGACGTCCTGAGGAGTGAGGTGGAATGGACCTTAAGAAGCATTGCTAACAACAAGGCAGCAGGAGACGACGTGATCCCAGCTGAACTGTTTACAATCTTGAGAAAGAAGATGCTCCCAAAATCAAGGCCAATTCCCACAAACCCTGCAGTATGTTCAGCTGGTCATGGGGCTTCTCTGTGCCAAGTTCGGTCCCGGTCCATTGTCGGTGGGGGTGACTGTTCATCAGGATGCAGGTGAACAACTTCCCAAATCAATGTCAATTCCTCCCAAACTCCTGCAGTATGTTCGGTTGCTCACAGGGATTCTCAGTGTCCTGGTCCATCATTGGTGGAGTTCGAAGTTGGGAAAAGTCATTAAGGACACGAAAATCGTTGGGTTTTATCGTAATAGGTCTTGATGAGCTCAAGAAGCATATGAATAATGTTGTAGTCCGAGTAGGATTTTATATATTAGGGCCATGGTAAGGAAAGTCGTAAATCATGGTTAATGTTTTCATATTTGTATATTCTGTTTATATATACTTGTGGGGAAGCCGTGTAATTATCAATATCAACTTAGGAGCTGAATGCCAAGTTTATTGGAATATAACAGGAGTAGAATAGATTCAATGTTACTTCACTCTAGAGGCACAAACTTAGCTGGTTACAGTTATAGAAGTTCTTGAATGACTCTAGGCACTAAACAGATTTCAAAAGGTTTCTTTAGGCAGATGTTTCTTTCTTTAACAACCGTTCTGGTAATACACATAAGCCACTTGACTTATTAACTGTATTGGCTCCAAGCCAAATCTTGATTCTTAGTCAAAGAATCAGTCCTCCCTGTGGTTCTATCACTACAGATTCTTGTTGGATTTCTACTTCCACACAGGATCAACAACCTCTGTAGTTCACAACTGCAGATCAGTTCCTTGATCCTCTCGCTGGAGAATCCTCTCCTGTCACTCTCCGACTACAGACTACTGATTCACAGATCAGTCCTCTTCTGTAACTCTCCAGCTACAGACTGACAACTTTCAAAAAGCTGCGCTGCCAAGTGGCAGTTGGCTCCGCCCCCATTGCTATGGCAACTCAGCTCAAGGCAAGCCAAGCCAGTGACCATCCCTAATAAAAATACAATTCTACATATTTATTTATTTATTTACTTCGCTTATATACCGCAATTCTCAGCCCAGGGGAGACTCATTATGGTGTACAACATAGAAAAACAGGTGCAAAATACAAGACATAGTATAAAATAATCCACAATTCATCATTATCACAAAACATCCTCATCAAAAAACATCAACATTAACATTACTACAATAGCCATTCCGTGTCTCCCATGCATGTGGGGGTCATACTATACATGTGTATGTGTACATACATATTACTTACCATTACTAACTACTGTATAAACCAGTGGTTCTCAACCTGGGAGTCGGGACCCCTGGAGGGGTCGCGAGGGGGTGTCAGAGGGGTCGCCAAAGACCATCACAGACAGTATTTTCTGTTGGTCATGGGAGTTCTGTGTGGGAAGTTTGGCCTAATTCTACCGTTGGTGGGCTTCTGAATGCTCTTTGGTTGTAGGTGAACTATAAATCCCAGCAACTACAACTCCCAAATGTCAAGGTCTATTTTCCTCGAACTTCACCAGTGTTCACATTTGGGCATATTGAATATTCGTGCCAAGTTTGGTCCAGATACATCATGGGGTTCAGGATGTTCTTTGATTGTAAGTGAACTGTGAATCCCAGTGACTACAACTCCCAAATGTCAAGGTCTATTTCCCCCCAAACTCCATCTGTGTTCATATCTGGGCGTTTTGAGTGCTTTTGCCAAGTTTGGTCCAGATCCATCATTTTGAGTCCACAGTGCTCTCTGGATGTAGGTGAACTACAACTCCCAAACTCAAGGTCAATGCCCACAAACCCTTCCAGTATTTTCTGTTGGTCAATGGGAGTTCTGTGTGCCAAGCTTAGTCCAATTCCATCGTTGGTAGAGTTCAGAATGCTCTTTGGATGTAGGTGAACTATAAATCCCAGCAACTACAACTCCCAAATTACAAAATCAATCCTCCCATAACACTCCAATAGAATGCATCCTGCATATCAGATATTTACATAATGATTCATAACAGTAGCAGTGAAAATAATTTAATGGTTGGGGGTCACCACAACATGAGGAACTGTATTAAGGGGTCACGGCATTAGGAAGTTTGAGAAACACTGATCTAAACAATACGTGACTATAGGAATAAAATTACACATCATCACAATACTCTATACAATACAACCCCTGTATCCACAGACATGATTTCACTTACCTGCGTCTACAAAAAATATGTTGTTTTGGGGCAATTGCAAGGCCTTCAATGCAATTCTGTGGAAGGTGACCGTAGACCAACGTATCTCCCATGCATGTGGGGGTCATACTATACATGTGTGTGTGTACTTTTCTATTTTATTGCATGTCAAGAAATCTTAATAAAAACGACTTCTATTAAAAATAATTA